TGTCAAAATTAGACCATAGGACGCAGTTAAAAATACAACCAGTGATCATGTGGCGTTGTAATCCCGAAATCGCAGCCAACTTACAAATTACCGGAAAATCGTAAACCCGATGTGGGGGACAGCACAAACAATCCACTATGTGCACCCGCTCCTAAATAATTTAATTGGCTGGGAGATGCAGAACGCCGCGGTATGGATTTTCTTGAAAAGGGAACTGCTCAATTTTTTACAAATTATTGTTTCTACAACTTGAAAACGCTTGGAGATGTGGTTATTGTTAATGCTAGAGTGTACACTATCGATTCGAAGTGTTCAAAGACACGATGTTCCTTGAATGTAGGATGGGCCTTGATTGCAGCCTCTTCTGGATCCTAGTGTGATCGGAGTTGTGCTCAGCAGCTGGACACTTTTTTCATTTTCAGCAACGACCTACAACACCCAAATCGAGCCCATTTCACCGAAACTCGAGTTCAGCCGACCCTACGAGGCGCGTTGCCACGTCGAACCGACACCTCCGGAGCCCCTTAGGTATACCTGGTACTTCAGGGACCGCATTGTGGGCGAGAGTGAGCGCCTCTTCATCGATCGATTCGATCGCAACACGGCTGGCGAGTACATCTGCGCGGTGCGGCCAGCCCACGGCGACATCTACCGCCACTCCTACGCCAACGCCACGCTGGGTCTGCGTCTGCGGGCCAGCAGGGAGGAACACACAGGTTAGAGCGTGTGTGTGTGTGTGCGTGTGGAGGTCGTGGAAGTGTGGTGCCAGGACGTGCGCTTAAAAGCCTCCTCGCTTGTCTCTAGAGATGCGCACGCCCCCCGGAGCCACGCTGATAACCAATGTTGGGGAGCGACGTGAGCTTCACTGCGAGATCCCGCACAACGATCGCGGTGGAGTCCGGTGGTACCTGAACGGCACCCTCGTCAGTCCCATCTCACCGGCCAACCGGACTGGAAACCTCCAACTCATCAACTACGTCCGAGTGAGCATCATGGCCCTCAACGGTGTTGAGGAGTTCCAGGAGGGGACCTGGGAGTGCCGAACCGACACCGAGACCAAGACTGTCGATGTCATTGTAGTTTGTAAGTGAGACCGCCTCACAGCACACAATTATTGATTTTTGTCAAAGGACCACGACATTTTTGACCCAAATTATCACAACTCATCCTGATCTAGCTGACTACGCCCTCGAGGTGAATCCGCCGCATTACGTGTTGAATGAAGGCGAGGACATGGAGATCCACTGCAGCGCCCAAGGCGGACACGAGGTGCCCAACACCGATTTGGAATGGTTCTTCCGACCAGTCGGCTCGAATGTGATGCATCCAATCGATTTCCGAACCGGTGGGTTCGTGCGGACAGACGATCCCCGCGCCAAGTACACCAGCGTCATCACCAAGTTCCACGTCACGGTATTCGACGAGGGCGAGTACATTTGTCGGGAGCCTCGCGGACAAACCGGCATTAGCACCCTGCAAATCAGTGAGTTTCGGTAAAAACGTGCTACTTATTTTGTGTTAGTAGGCTTTTGTGTATAAAATGTAGAATATAAAGTGCCTGTTTGTGCGAGTTACGAGGTGTCTATGTTTTGCCTGGTAGAACGAGCAATGACCCACACCCTGCACATTACCCCGGGCACCGTGAAGGTCCGGCCAGGCCAGGACGTCAGCATTCTCTGCTACTCCATGCAAATGGACCGTCGAACACGTGGTCCACGTCCGAGACTCCGGGCTTTCGACAGCAGGCTCGCACTCTACATTACTGACTCCGAAAACAACGCCGTCAGCGGCAGAATCAGCCGTATTGACCCCTCATTCAACGGAACCATCATTGAGTGCTACTCCGAGGTACGTCGTAAGCAATGCCGTTGATATCTAATCGATAGAGAGAGAGAGGAAAGCACAGATGCCTGTCAGTTCCAAGTAGAAGTAGTTCTATTCAAGAATTGCAGACCTATCGATTACCTAATTACCGCCTCTTCCTAGAGCTTATTTAATCAAGAGAAGCATCTAACGCTGGAGTGAGTTTCGTCTTGGCGTTTTCTTCCTTGTCCATGTAGACGCCCAACGTGGACCCTGTCCGCATCATCATCAACGTGGAGGACGTCTGTCCGCCTGGCTATCGTCGTTGCCGCAACGGTGAATGCCTCGAAGCTGGACGATTCTGCGACGGTAGACGCGACTGTCTAGACGGCAGTGACGAGGATCCTGCTCTATGCTGTGAGAATTTGGGCCAGTATATAACCATAGCCCCACAAATGGGTTCTTATCCGTTTTACAATCTGTCGTCCAATAAGTGTGATCGTTGAAGTCAACTGCGGATAACACGCATAGCGTGAAGCGGTCACACGTGACTTTGCAAGAGCGTTAGAGGCGTTAGTTTCAGATGTCGTCAGTATGTGTGAACGGTATTTACAACGTGAGGTCTAGAACCTTCTATGAGACAAGTCAAGTAGCACTCTAAAAATTGCAATTACACTGTGGCCGTAATCGTCTCGGAGCTTCAAAGTTGTTAGGAAAGAGACATGTAAATCTGCGAATCCCCTAAACGCCTCCAATTTTGCCTGTAGCCGTCTGCGACCCGATCGTGATGAGGTGCGACACCTACCGCGGTGTTCAACCCCGCAAACAGACCTACATGGTACACTGGCAGTGCGACGGTGAAGACGATTGTGGAAACGGCTACGACGAAGCCAACTGCCAAGGTCAGTTTCTAACCGATAGCAAACTTCACCAAGACAACTAGGGGTGTCCACGGTCACTTGTGTGGCGTATTTTGTAGACCCAGCTATCAACTTCTGCGTGAAACAGCAATACACCTGTCCCAGTTCTCTGATTCCCATTCCTCGTGCTTTCATGTGTGATTCCGATGCTGACTGTGATCGCAATGAGGACGAAGAAGGATGCAGTACGTACTACTAACTACTAATTAAGTACGCATTTCTTTTTAAACTTCATGGACTTGTTTCCTTTTTCTAGGAGAGCCACAAATTCTCGACCAGCCGAGACCGCAGTATGCTCATCGCCGTGGTGAAACTGTCACCCTGACCTGTGAGGTCAGTGGCCGACCCAATCCGAGGGTCATTTGGCGTTTCAACTGGGGATGCCTGCCCGACGAGGGTCGTCGTATGACGGTGCGCAACTACGCGGAGAACTGTGGAAGTCCAAACGAGAAGACCATCTCCACGCTGACCATCAGCAACTTTCAGCCAGGCGATGACGGCATTTACAACTGCGAGGGTCTCAACGGACTCAAGCGGGCCATGTCACGTGACTACACTGTTATTCTCACCGGCTAGGCAACCTCCACGTCTCTGCCACAATTAATTGTGAGTTTAAATGCTTGCGGACAAAAACTAGACGCACACATGCATCCTGCCAACCAATGGAATTTAGGGCTGATTTATTGGAATTATCATTTTTTGCCAAAGTCAATCAAATGACCTTGAATAATTTTTCCTCTGCCTTTTAGACTTTTCTTCGCACGTAGCCGCTTGACCTTCGCATGCACCACCCACACTTCGTAAATTAAATACTGCTAATACATTTTCAAAATTTAAAAAAAACTTTGTTCTTTTTTTACAAAGACTGACTTCATTCAAAAATCTCTAGATATATTTCTTCCTGTCGGTTTTTTTTGTGTGCGTGTGTACTAGGGCTATTAGATTCTTATGTTTTTCTCATTATCTATGTTTCAGTGCCTGCAATTGCCTCCCTCAGCTATGTCAATGTCTCTTATTATGTAGGAAATATAATAGCCCCTTGGTAATAGCCAATCAGCCTCCTGCCTGTTCAAATCCGGTCGATAAATTGACGGGGTGCCGACAAACTAATTGAATATCCGTCAGATATCCAATCAGGATGACCCTAGCCTGATTGTGAGGGCGCGAGGCGTTGATTGGTCGGTGACACCAAGTTGAGAGAGCGATGCTCATTGGCTGATGGAAAAGGAGAAAACGCGCTGGTAGTAATGTGTGTACAAGTGGCATGGGGCAATATTTATTAGTGATGCGAGAGAGAATTTAATGGAGAGAAACGAGTTAGTCGTAAACAGATACACAAACGCACTCATCAAAGTAACCGCGTGTGAGATAAGACGCATGAGATGACTTGGTGTTGACGCCGCAATCTGTTCTGGGAAGTTAGTCAGCTGATTGTTGTCGTGAGATATTTGTCGCTGTTCAATCTGGTTCAGACTCGAGTTAGACGGCAATTGTCTTGAGAAGTGTGACTTGGAAGTCGAGGCTGGAAGATGTAGGAGGTCTCTGGAATAGGCTTCGATGTCTAAAAAACATTCTGGGCTATGATGACTTCTCATTAGGAGAGTAGGGAAATCGTTGATCTTCGAGAGGTCACCACTTAGGCCAACATGGATTCGAAAATGGTGCGTTTGGATACAAAATTGACGTATAAAATCGAAAGTTTCCGCGTTAGACAGCTCGTTTTTGGGTAAACCGGAAAAATCGGGACACTTTCATGAGCATGGCACTCCAGATGTACAACTTTTTTTGTTGAAAACGTCGAGTTGCGTAGACCAACTATGATGCCAACTTGAGGACCAATCAGGGACCTCGTCAAACGCACCAATCAGAACTGGATTAGGGTAACTTCAAGAAGAACCTTCGTGTGATTGACAGTAACTGGGCGTGCATGAAATTTGAAAACACACGCCACCTGTCTCACCCTAGCTGTCATGGTTAAAGCCGTAACAGCGGCATAGCTGCCGCAAAAGCGATTATTTTGCATCAAGTGCCTATCAAGATGCTAGAATGGTAGTTGAAGAAGACGTCGTGTAGGAACGCGCTGTTACGCGTCGTGAAAGTGAGTTTGGTTTTAAACGGCTTCCAGGGAACAAATGTCCGCATGTAGGGGTTTTAGCAATCGAAATCAGTCAAAGTTAAGTACAACCACTTAACGCGGCAGTCACACCCCACTGCATGACTGACTGTTCGTGTTCAATTGAATATCTGGACTTGAATCAACGAACTTGAGTATACATCCACAGGGATGAGTCATTAGCACCATCGCTCGTTCAAGGCCTTCCAAGCAATGGTCTCCTGCCTAACGCTTCCCTGAAACTGGTTAGGCAGGGTGGACCTAGGGAGAAACCAAATGTCGAGACGTACAACCATTTATTGATTAGAAGGAGAGGTGGGGAGTTGTAAGAGCGATCACTCGTCCCTGGTGAAAGCATTCACGAAACCTACTTGCCATGCTAGTTCGCAGAGGTGTGTTAGTAGCATCACTGGTCCCGTTCTGGGTTCCATCCCGCATCGGGACATCAGGAGACAAATTTGGTCAGAATTCCCGTTTTCAGACATTCTCGCGTGTGCGCAGTGAGGCATTAGGACCATCCACCGACAAATAGACATCTCATTGGGGTGTGCATGTGGGGTGTTTAGAGAGTAGCATAGAGGTCAACGCACAGTCGGTGGTAATTCGATTTGTCCCTAAGCGTCAGTCACTGCACCAAGTAGCAGGGAAAATTAAAGTGGGCCGTTCAAGTTGCATGAACAACACACAGCAATTCAGGTTCAACAGGCGGGCTCTTTCGCATTCACGAGGTGCCTGGAATCATCGATGAAGTTTCATCGACAATCGGTGAATTGCGAAGCCCGTTGTCTTGGTATTTCGTCAGAATTTCACTCTTTGAAGAAGGTACCTGTTGTGAATCGTGTTTATTCACACTCGCTAATCCGATCACACCAACCTCCGACACAGGGTCCCTCTTTTCACAGCATGTCGCCAGCCGCGCGGACCCTCAACTACCCCCTCATTCGCACGAATATTTTTCTTGGATTATCCTCAAACCTAGGTCTTGATTTTAGCTAACGCGCAAACCCCACACACGACACCACCGTGATTGAGGTCTGGAGTAAACGCTTGTGTCCACGTCCTCTCCGATCTTTTTCTTCATTGTGGGTATCAGGGAAACGTAATCGGGCCAGGGTTAATTCCTTGGCCGCGGTGTGCTTCGAGACCACATGCCGAGGCCCACACCATACCTTTCCAAGAATCAGGGTATCGATGTAAAGCAACTCGAAATCCTTGCCCCCTTGGACCTGCGGCAGTTGCTGAGGCAGCGAAATGCAATCCCACGGATGAGATCAGTTGGGGGAGTTGCTCAGCAGGGGATGCTGGTTCTGGCTGCGTGCCTCCCAATGACCCTTCTAGCACATTTGTTGCACAATTTAATGAGTGATTGGCACTGCCTAGGGCAGCTGGTAATTAAATAAGATTAGGCAGCCCCTACGTCACACTGGTTTAGAACCTAAGAAATGAGTTCACCTCTTTCATGTCACACCAAGTTTTGCTTGCTCTTTTGAAAGCCGATCTGTGTCGAATAATTCAAGTCGCGGTACAAAATTTACACCTCTAACTAACTCCAACAGAGAAATATAACCAGGCTTTACGTGGCAGATCTGTTCACATTGCCATTTTCAGTTAAAAATCTGCAAATCTACACGCGCCAAACGCGAATCCACGCACCTCGGTGGATTGGCTCTCTCGGCGAATGAACACGTGTGCAAATTCAATCTGACTTCAAGTTAACCCAAATCTGAGGGCGGAAAATTTCATTTCAACTCGGGAAATGCCAAAAATCGTGCCGATTTTTCACAATTTTTGTCTCCTAATCGGTGTGAGCAGTCCAAAAGGCATTGCAATCTGAGGAAGTGGATGCCTGGTGCTTCAATAATTGAATCAAACAACGACACCCACCAAGTGCTATCGGGTTAATTAAGGGTCCTTCGTGTCAGGTTTATGGGAATTTGCAGACTTTATTGCGCAAAATACGTTAAGTGAGAAAGTCCAAAGTGAGCCTCAGGGCAAAGAAATCATTGGAATTGTTCAATTTGAATCGATTTAGCATTGTTTTAAATTATAGCTTTCCTTGAAGAAAAGAACTATCACCGATTGCTTAACCAAAGGCTCCGTGTGTTAAGATTTAACTTTGCCGGGTTCAAAGTAGCCTCGTTTCGGGATGCTGTTAGAGGAACTTGACAAAATTCTCACTCCAAACAAGCCTCCAGCCCAAACACACTCCGTAGGAGTTTGCTGTGGGCCCCAGCATGTGGTCTTGAACCACGCCGGGGCCACGGAATTAACCCTGGCCCGATTACGGTTGCCTGATACACGCGATGAAGGAAAAGACCGGAGAGGACGTGGACACAACCGTTTAATTCAGAGCTCAACCACGTTGGTGTCGTTGTGTCGTGTGTGGGGTTTGCGCGTGACCTCTGGTGTGTGAGTCATACATGCGCTAACATCGAGACCTAGGTGTGAGGATAATCCAAGATAAATATTTGTGGGAATAAGGGGGGAGCTGAGGATCCGCGTGGCTGGCGACATGCTGCGAAAGGAGGATCCTGTGTAGGAGGTGGAGCGACCGGATTAAGGGGTTGAATAAACAAGATTCACGACACGTTCAACTTCAAGAGGACGGTGCTTCAGTGGAAACTTGGTTGCAGATGATCTACCAAGCGGACTTCTCTAAAGACTCTGAAGCATCCGTGGATCTCTGTATATCATCTGCTTGGTTTTCATATATTGCTAATTGCCGGGTGGTAGAAAAGGCTGTGTCAAACGAGCAGTCATGCCATGTCACTTCTCCTCGATGTTGGCCCAATCATGTCATGCGTTGGACCAGAATTCAAGCTAGAATTTGCTGAAAACTGATTGGTGGGGCGTCTTGTCTAGGTGTAGAATCTTCGAAAGCTACTTCGCGTTCCACAAAAGACGCATTTGCGCTGGTGCTTGTTGAAATAAATTGCCGACTTACAGTGGGTTTATCAAGTGTAGCGTAGATCCATAGGCCTTCAACAAAGTAAAAAGCATGTGTTAGTTTAGAAAGGGCTAAATGACGCACTTTCGGTCTTGCCGGCACTTCAAGATCTTGTGGACCCGTTGATATCTGACTCAAACAACTTTTGACTCATCAGGATGGCTTGAATCGTGTTTATTCACACCCCTTAATCCGGTCGCTCCACCTACTACATAGGGTTCCCCTTTTCGCAGCATGTCGCCAGCCGCGCGAACCCTCAGCTCCCCCTTCATTAGCAAGAATATTTACCTTGGAGTATACCCTCACCTAGGTCCTCTCCGGTCTTTTTCTTCATCGCGGGCATCAGGCAACCGTAATCGGGCCAGGGTTAATTCCGTGGCCCCGGCGTGGTTCAAGACCACATCCTTTGGCCCACAACAAGGAGCATTTGCTAGGTGTATGACTTACATTGTGCAGACTCTTCAGCAAGTTTGTTTAGCATGAAAAAAGTGGAGAACAACGAAATTGGTCTCGGAA